ATCTGCTCTAGACCACCTACGCCCAGAGGGCTGGTGGGATTAGTGTTTTGCGCGGCCCGCCTAGCTCTTAACCGGAAGAGGCTCGCTCTCGCCCCGCAGACTCAAAAAGTTTTGGACCGTTTTCGGCCTCAGGGGGCCCTCGCCAGGCCTCGGGACCGTCGAACAATATGCAGGACGAAAAGGCGGCCCTGGGGAAGGACTGGTCCAGATCTCCAAGGCCCAGGCATCGAACACATGGGAGCGGCCGGATGTCTGGGTCCTTCCGCCGCGCCCTCACCCTCGGGCCGATGGACAACATCGAGGCAACAAGTCCCACCAGCCCTCTGGGCGTAGGTGGTCTAGAGCAGATCCTCTTCCACCCCTCCCTCTTCCCCCTTGGGGAGGGGTTTACCCCTCCCCCTACCCCCTCCCCTGGACCTGGACGGGGGGGGCCGCGGGTAGTTAGAGCGTCCCAGATGGCCCAAGACGGCTCCAAGAGCGCCTCAGAGAACCCAAGATGAGCTCCAAGATGGCTCAAGATAGCGCAAGATCGCTCGAGATGGCTCCTAAGATGGTTCCAAGAAGCCCAAAGACGGCCCCAAGATAACTCCAAGTGGCCAAACAGCTCCCCAAGGAGGCCCCGAAGAGGCCAAAATCGTCCCAAAACCTAAGGAAAATCAATGATTTTTGCTTTCTCGCCTTTTCGCTTCCGATGGCCATCCGAGGCCTGGAGATGGCTCCAAGATGGCCCAAGAGGGCCCCAAGAGAGCCCCAAAAGAGCCCCAAGACGGCCCCAAGAGCGCCCAAGAGCACTCCAAGAGCGTTCCAAGAGGGGTCCAAGAGGCGATTTTAGGGGCTTCCGAGGGGGGGCGCTAATCCCACCAGCCCTCTGGGCGTAGGTGGTCTAGAGCAGATCCTCTTCCACCCCTCCCTCTTCCCCCTTGGGGAGGGGTTTACCCCTCCCCCTACCCCCTCCCCTGGACCTGGACGGGGGGGGCCGCGGGTAGTTAGAGCGTCCCAGATGGCCCAAGACGGCTCCAAGAGCGCCTCAGAGAACCCAAGATGAGCTCCAAGATGGCTCAAGATAGCGCAAGATCGCTCGAGATGGCTCCTAAGATGGTTCCAAGAAGCCCAAAGACGGCCCCAAGATAACTCCAAGTGGCCAAACAGCTCCCCAAGGAGGCCCCGAAGAGGCCAAAATCGTCCCAAAACCTAAGGAAAATCAATGATTTTTGCTTTCTCGCCTTTTCGCTTCCGATGGCCATCCGAGGCCTGGAGATGGCTCCAAGATGGCCCAAGAGGGCCCCAAGAGAGCCCCAAAAGAGCCCCAAGACGGCCCCAAGAGCGCCCAAGAGCACTCCAAGAGCGTTCCAAGAGGGGTCCAAGAGGCGATTTTAGGGGCTTCCGAGGGGGGCGCTAATTAAACCCCCCCTCTTGTTTGATCGATCTCCTCCAAGATGGCCCCAAGAAGCGCCCAGGAAGCCCCAAGAGGTCCCAAGATGGCCCCAAAATGGCCCCAAGAGGCCCCCAAGAGGCCCCCCGGAGGCCCCCAAGAGACCCCCAAGAGGCCCCAAGAGCCCCCCCAGATGCACCCAAGATGCTCCAAGAGGCCTCGGCGAGAATGCCTAATCATTGATTCTACACAGGTTTTAGCCACATGGAGGCCTCTTGGGGGGGGGCACGGATTAAGATGACTCCAAGAGCGTCTGGGAGAGCCCAAAATGACCTCCAAGATGGCTCAAGATATCCCAAGATGTCTCATAATGGCTTCCTCTGTGTGCTGCCCACTTCTCTGATCGAGGCAATTCCTCTGGGCATCGTTTCTGGATGGGCTGGTGGGGATTCGCGAAGCGACAACAATTCACCCCCCCCTCTTGTTTGATCGACTCCCTCCAAGATGGCCCCAAAAGCGCCCCGAAGGCTCCCCAGAGCGCCTCAAGAGGGTCCCAAGAGGCGCCCAAGATGCCCCAAGGCGCCCAAAAAGCCCTCCAAGAGGCCCTCAAAAGACCCCCAAGAAGCTCCTTCCCCTCCTCCTCCTCCTCCTCCGATTCTTCCTCCTTCTCCGTCCTCCTCCTCCTCCTCCTCCTCCTCCTCTTCCCCCTCCTCCTCCTCCTCCTCCGACGACGACGACGACGACGACGACGACTCCTCTTCCATCCTCCCCCTCTCGGGGTCTGTGACAGCTTCCCCCGCCCTTTGTTATTCTGCATGCTCCCCGACTTCCCTGATCACCTCAACTCCCCTGAGCATCGTTTCTGGATGGGCTGGTGGGGATACGCGAAGCGTCAACAATTTTCCATCGTGTTCGGGTCCCTTACCGGGCCCCGGGGCTGTCGAAAGAGGACTCGGGATGAAGGACCAGTCCCGGGGAAGTGGTCAAGAGGGCGGGGGCGTGTGTCTCGACAAAAGCGAGGCGCTGGATGTCTGGGTTCCTGCACCGCCTCGCCCTTCCAAGTTGGCTGATCGACAAAATACTGCACCGCCCGCGCGACCGCTTTGCTGGCGCAAACTTCAACGCGCCCCCCGGCCACCGATTCAGTGTTGGTTGGCATCGCCAGCGAGGCGCAGATTTTCGGACTGCCAGCAGATCGACCCGTCGTGGCGCAGCCCGCCAACATTAAATTGGGGGCGCGGGGGGGCTTCACACAAATCAGCATCAAAAGGTGCAGGATTGGATTCGTCAACCGTCCTCCTTCCCTACTCTGGGTTTCTTAATAAGCGTGGGGGGTACCCCCCCGACGGGGGTCAACCTCGCCTCGCCATCGCGCCGCGATGGGGGTCGGAGCGCCTTCGGCGCGCGGTGGCACCCCGCGACGGGGGTCGTCCTTACGCGCGTCCTTGTTTCACGGGTCGACTGCATGCGGTGCAGAACTCCTCGCCGGCAATACGGCTTATGTATGACTGTGAGTCTTGTTACATTCCAGCGCGCGCCTTTGTGCCTTCCTCTTCCTCGTCGTCCTCCTCCTTCTCCTCCTCCTCCTCCTCCTCCCCTCCTCCTCCCTCCCCCTCCTCCTCCCCCTCCTCCTCCCCCTCATCCGCCTCCTCCTCCTCCTCCTCCTCCTCCTCCTCCTCCTCCTCCTCCTCCTCCTCCTCCTCCTCCTCCTCTCCTTCGGAGGTCCACGCAGATTTTCTGGAATCGGCGGTGGACCCCCCTGGCTGCGCCCCTTGCCCCCGCTTCCTGGCGTGCCCCGCGCTGCCGGGGGACCGGGGCCAGCACAGAGCCGAGAAGTTCGCGCGGGCCTCGGAGAGTTGACGTCTCCTCCTCCGCCTCCGCCTCCGCCTCCGCCTCCGCCTCCGCCTCCGCCTCCGCCTCCTCCTCCTCCTCCTCCTCCTCCTCCTCCTCCTCCTCCTCCTCCTCCTCCTCCTGGGGGGGTGCCCAACATCCCAGACCTCCTCGCGAATATGGACGCTGCTGGCTGGAGGCGGAAAAGGTACCCATACCGCTTCCCTCGTTTCCGCCTTTCGGGGCTTCCTGGGAGGCCCACGTTGCCACCGCGGGATTCGCCTCAAGAGGGTGGTCAGAGTGCACCCCAGGAGAGGTCCGTGGAGTAGCGGTATCGGTACCTTGTGGTTTCCCCAGCTGCATCACCTGCCAGTCGAGCTCCGCAGCAGCTCGCGAGCGCAAAGCGGTCTGCGTGTGTGTGAATGTGTGCGTGAATGTGTAATCTGTTTTTGTGCTTCTGAGTGCGCCCCAAGTGGTCTCTGAGGGCTCGGGCGGGCTTTTAGACGGCGCGCGCAGCTGCTGCTATTCGAACATCTGCGCCCCGTCGCTGCGCGCACAGCCGCGACGCCAAACAAGTGTGCAGGTGTGTGTGGGGGGGGTCAGCTCGACCCCGCCTTGTGGCCACACAAGAGAGCCACGCGCTTCGCGAGACGAGTGTGCGACACGGCGGAGAGCACAGCGACGGCGACGGCGTGCGTCAGAGCCAAGGCCTGCGCGCTCTGCGAGCTCGACCGCGGGGGAGGGCCGTCGCGCCGCGGCGCGGACTTCGGAGCCCGGGCGCGCGCTTGGGGCGCGCCCTGGAGAAGCTGCCTGGCGACGGGGCAGCAGCTCAGAGGAGGAAAAGGTGCCCATACCGCTACCACTCCCTCGTTTCCCCCTTTTTGGGACTCCTGGGAGGCCCTCGTCGCCACCGCTGGATTCTCCCCCCAATCCTGGTCAGAACGCACCCCAGGAGAGGTCTGGGGAGCAGCGGCATCGGTACCTTTTGGCTTCCCCAGCAGCGCCGTCCCCTGATGTGGCAGCAAGCGCGCAGGGCGATCGGCATCGAGAGCGACCTGTTGCGCGTGGGGCCGCGAGGCCAGAGCTTGGCCTCCACTGCGGCGCTGTGCACGGCATTTCTGCTGGATGTTAGCCGCTTGTCTCACTGATGTTCTTCTTCCTTCCTCCATCATGCGTCTGCCATCCTCCTACGTCACTATTTCTCCTCATTTGCCCTCTCCCGCCTCCCTCCTCCTTCAGCACTCCATCGCTCTATGGTCTCTAAGCATTCCATGCTCCAGCCCCTACGTACGTCTCAACCCTGCTGCCTCATCCTGCCTTTGTCTTACCTCGTCGTTCCCTCCCCCTCCTGCTCCCTTCTCCTCCCTCGGGCCAATACTTCTGCCCCTTTGTTGGACACCCTCCTCCTGCAACATGTGTCTGGTATATGTGTTCCATCTTCTCCCCTGCTGCTCATTATCTTCTTCCCCTTATCCTCCCCCTCGTGCTTGTCCCCCTCCCTCCGCTTTCCCCTCCCCATTCTCTTCTTGCCTTATCAGTATCCACCTCGTCCTCCGTTCTCCCCCTCGGCACGCCCCATCCTTCTGCCCCCACGGCCACGTCGTTCCGCCCCCCCCTCGCTATTTCGTTTCTCCCCCCTCCAGCCCCCCACCCACCCCCCTACTTCGTTGCTCCCACCCCACCGCTCGCTACTTCGTTACCCCCCCCCTCGCTGCTTCGTTTCTTCCCCACTCGCTGCTTCGTGTCTCCCTCCTCCCCTCCCCTCTCACCTCTGTTCCTCCTCCACCCCCCCCACCAGTCGGGCGAGAGCGGGACCCCCGTTGTGATGATGCACGGGATGGGCGACTTCGCGAACAACCCGATGGGCATGGTGCCCCTGCGCAAGCTCATCGCCCAGAAGGCGACCCGCCGGCGCCTCCCGCTCCCGCCGCAGCTCGCGACCGGCCGCAGGCGAGAGGAGCGCAGCTCGAGCGAGGAGCAGAGAGGAGGGAGGAGGGGGAGCGGAGGAGTGACGCGAAGAGAGGGGGGAGGAGGGAAGGGATGAGAGGAGGAAGGGGATGAGAGGAGGGGAGGGGGAGAGGGGGAAGGGATGGGGGGTGGGGGGGGGGAGGGGGAGATGGGCGGGGAGGGAGGGGGGGGGAGGGACGGGGGAGGGAGGAGAAGGGAGGAGATGCGAGGAGGAGAGGGGGAATGGAGGGGGGGGGGGCGGAAGGGAGGCGGGGATCGGGGCTCGGGGCTCCCTCGCGGTGCAGGCAAGAAGCGGCCCGCAGCGGTGGCGACGTGCGCGCGGGGAGTTCCGTGAAGGGCCTCGCCTTCGGGCGCCGCCTCGCCCTCGGGGCGGAGGGCGGGCGGCGGCAGCAAGACGGCGGCGGGTGCGCCGGACGGCCAGCGGAAGGCGGCGGAAGTAGGGTTAAGTCGGGCCCCCCTACAGGGGGATTTTCGGCGAAAAACGAAAAAAGACACCCAAAAATAATGAAAACGTAGTCCAAAAATAGTCTGGGGATTATGTTTTGAATATTTCTTTGACCTTTTTGGGGTATTTGTTGTTTTTTTTGTTTCGTCGAAAATCCGACTTAAAAGCAGGGGTGGGACGTCAACACGCTTTGGTCCGAGAGGGCCCCGCCGTCGGCGCCGCCAAGGGTCGCCCTCGGCGGAGGGCGGCGGAGTGCAGGCGGCGGCGGGCGCGCGGGCGCAAAGGCCGGCGGAGGGCGGCGGGAGTGCAGGGAGGACGGGGGCGGACGCGAGGAGCAAAGAGCGGCATAAAGACGACGACGAGGGCGGACGCGAGGAGCAGAGAGCGGCATAAAGATGCTCTCTCGGAGCGCCGTGCCTGACCTTCCTCGGATCGACGTTGGGCCCCCCCGGGGCGGCGCGTCCGGCGCCGCCCCTGGCGCGCGCCCCGCGCGCCGGGGAGGGGGGGATTGCATGAATCCGCGCGGGGCGGCCAGCGGAAGGCGCGGGGAAGTGTGAGCGGGACGTCCACATTTTTCGGGTCGTCGTGTTCGGAGCCAGCCACATGAACTTTCGGAGGTCCGCGCGATTTTCTTGGATCGGCGCTGGAGCCCTCCGACAAGGCGTCCGGCGCCGCCCGTGGCGCGCTCCGCGCGCCGGGGAGGGGGGGTCCATGAATGCGCGTGGAGCGCCAGAAGTTTCTGTCTGTGCAGTTCTGTGCTCCTCTGTGCTTCCCCTCTCTCATTCTCTCTCCCTCCCCGGCATCGCCCTCGCCGCACTGGTCCTTCGCAGTGCTTGCTGGCCAGCGCTGCTGGGCACGTCGTCATGGTCTCCGCGCGCCGACGTCGAAGTCGAGGGTCACATCCTCATCACTGCCCCCTACCCCCCACCCTCGGGTCCCACGACGACGACGAGGAGGCGACGACGACGAAGACGACTTGGACGACGAGGGCGACGAGTACGAGGACGAAGTCGACGACTACAAGGACGACCACGACCACGACGACGATGACGACGACGGCGACGACGACGACGCCGACGGCGGCGGCTGCGGCGACGGCGAGGGCGGCGGCGGCGGGGACGCCGATGACGACGTCGGAGGGAGGGGAGTAGAAGGAGGGTTCGACGATAGCGGGGGAGGGGTAGGTGTAGGAATAGGAGGATGAGGACGAGGATGAAGAGGATGATGCTGATGATACTGCTGCTGATGATGGCGATGGTGATGATGACGGTGTCGAAGCTGATGGCGATGATCTTGATGATGATTATGATGATTATGATGATAGTGGTGGTGGTGATGGTGATGATGATGCTGATGCTGATGTTGCTTGTTATGATGATGCTGATGATGATGTTGTTCGTCATTATGGTGATGGCGATGCTGATGGTGATGATGATGTTGATGCTGATGATGATGCTGGTGATGTTGATGATGATAATGATGATGCGGTTGAGTATGATGATGGTGATGGTAAGGGTGATGGTGGCGGTGATGATGCTGCTGCTGACGATTCTGATGAGGATGAAGCTGGTGCTGGTGGTGATGATGATGATGATGATGATGATGATGATGATGGTGATGATGATGATGATGGTGATGGTGATGGTGATGGTGGTGATGATGATGATGGTGATGCTGCTGATGATGAGGACGATAGTGGTGGTGGTGGTGGTGCTGATGATGATGATCATGATGATGCTGATGCTGATGTTGATGCTGATTGTGATGATAATGATGATGCTGATGATGATGATGATGATGATGATGATGATGATGATGATGATGATGATGATGATGATGATGATGATGATGATGATGATGATGATGATGATGATGATGATGATGATGATGATGATGATGATGATGATGATGATGATGATGATGATGATGATGATGATGATGATGATGATGATGATGATGATGATGATGATGATGATGATGATGATGATGATGATGATGATGATGATGATGATGATGATGATGATGATGATGATGATGAATGATGATGATGATGATGATGATGATGATGATGATGATGATGATGATGATGATGATGATGATGATGATGATGATGATGATGATGATGATGATGATGATGATGATGATGATGATGATGATGATGATGATGATGATGATGATGATGATGATGATGATGGTGGTGGTGGTGGTGGTGGTGGTGATGATGATGATGATGATGTTGATCGTTATGATGGCTAGGCCCTGAGGAGCCCGATGTGGTGGGCGAGTTGGGATAGACCCGTGCAGCCATGCGCAGATCCCGCCCACCGACCCCTCGTCTCAGGCGAGCGCCTACGTGGCCAGCGTGGCGCTGTGCTCGAACAAGACCCAGCTGGCCAACTGCGACCAGGAGGACCAGATGAACGGCTTCTCCATGGTGATGGACGACGAGGCGGACGAGCGGGAGTGAGAAAGCGTTTGGGGGGGGAGTTTGGGCCAGGCACGAGCAAGGAGGATGAGGTGGGAGGAGGGGGCAGAGAGTGGGGAGAGAGGAGGAGGCCGACGATGATGAGGAGGATGAGGAGGAGGATTGGAGGAGGAGGAGAAAGAGGAGGAGGAGGAGGAGGAGGAGGAGGAGGAGGAGGAGGAGGATTGGAGGAGGAGGAGGAGAAGAAAGATGAGGAGCCAGCTCGCTGGTCTCCTCCGCCTCCGGGTTCTCGGCTGCTCCCCCCCGTTCCCCCTCTTCCTCGCCCCGTTCCTTCGTTTCCCGGGCCCGCGCTCGCTCGAGGAGCCCCCGCTGCCCTTCGGCTGGGAGGCGGCGCCACCGGCAGTACATCGGGGGCGGCAAAGAGGGGGGTGATGACCAGGGGGGGGGGGGATATCATGGCGGGGGCCATGATATCTCACCAGATTTCACGGATATCTCCCCAGATTCATGGCCCCTCTTCTTATTTCAATACGTCCCCAGCCCCCCCGCTGGGCCGCGCACATGCCGCCGGCCATGATTTGCACTCCCCCCTCTTCGACACCCCCTTTCTTGACCGCTCCCGAAGTACAACGGCTAGTGTGATTTTGCCGAGTGCGTTTGCTGGGTGCAGGTGTCGACCGATTGTGCAGGCTCGCCTTCTCGCGTGCGCGATGACAGCTGCTGGGCTGCGGTTGGCGTTGCTGCCCCGCTCCCGCGCGTTTCGCGCCTCCCTCTTTCCCTGTCCCGTTCCTCCCCCTCTTCCTCCCTTTTTCCTCCCCGCCCCCTCTGTTCCTCCCCCTCTTCCTCCCTCTCTTCCTCTCTTTCTCCCTCCTCCCTCTCTTCCTCCTGCGCCTTTCCTCCCTGCCTCCCTCCCTGCCTTCATATTCCCCCCCCCCGCCTGGCGGCGCGAAAGTCGACTGCGCCGTGCGACCCCCCCGAGGCGTCTGGGCCCAGAGCAGTTCTCCGGCAGACGCGTGGAGGCTCTGACGTTTTTCGGCCACCTCCGAGGGTCGGGACTTCTCAGCCACGCGCAAAGGGGGGTGGGGGGAGGGGGGAAGGCTTCTTAGACGCACCCCTGCTTCTCAGAAGGCGCGGGCCTGATCTGTAGATGTGAGGCCGGCTCCTTCTAAGAAGCAGCCTCCTTCTAAGAAGCCCTCCCCCCTTCCCTCCACCCCCCTGTGCGCGCCGCCGCCAAACTTCAGGATTGCTGCCGATGCTGTAGGTCGTTGCTTCCACCTCGGCATTTCTCCCGCCGACACGTGGAGGCTCTGACGTTTTTCGGCCACCTCCGAGTGTCGGGACCTCAGGATTGCTCATGGCGCCAACACCGCAGAGCGGATTTCGTTCGGAAAACGATCGGGTGGGCCCAGAGAGTCTTGGAGAATCTTGCTCTGGATTTCGAGGTGAGTTTCGTGCGGATTTGTTTGGGCCAGGAAAGAAGACCCCCCAACATCCACGCGAAATTCACTCCGTTTTTCACGCGCCGCTTCGGGCAGAAATCCACGCAGAAATCCGCTGCAGCACGTCTGCAAGGCCGATGCAATGAAGGATGGCTACCGATGCTGTAGGTCGTTGCTTCTACCTCGGCCTCGTCTTCCTCCTCCTCTCCATCGTTCAGCCTCGTCCTCCGCTTCCTTGAAGTCGAATATGTGTGAGGCAGCTTGCGGGAAAAGGAACGAGAAGAAGGGGAGGAAGGAACAGCACGAGGACCAGGGTGAGGAGGATGACAGGTAGGAGTTGGAGGAGGAGCAGGCTGTCGGCAGAGGCGGAGAGGGATGAGGAGGAGGACGAGGAACAGCAGGAGAGGGGGACCAGGTGGACCAGTTTGCTCGCGTCGTCCGGGCCGACGCCAAGCTCTCCGGGGGCTTCAACGCCATCGGGTTCTCTCAGGGGAACGCGGTGATCCATGGATGCATCCACCTCCTCCCCCATTCCCCTCTTCCTCCCTGCTTCAAGAGCCACTTGCACTCCTCCTGCTGCTCCTCATCCTTCCTCCGTATCTTCCTTCTCCTCCTCCTCCTCCCTCCATCTCCGCGGTGATTCGTGGGTACATCCACCGCTACAATGACCCACCTGTGAAGAAGTTTGTTTCGATGCACGGTGTACTGATGGGGGTGAGCGGCCTGCCACAGTGCCCGATGAACGTGACGGGACTTGGCTTGTTTTGCAGAGGTATCGATGCCGTGGTGTCGCACCTTGGTGTGTACTCTAGCTACGTGCAGGGCCACCTCGCTCAGGCAAACTACTTCAGAGATGCAGAGAATCTGGACGAATACCGCAAGAAGGGTCACTTCCTCCCCTACATCAACAACGAGGTGAAGGGTCATGAAAACTCAACCTATTCCGACAATTTCAAATCCCTGGAAAAGTTAGTGTTGGTGATGGCGGAGGACGACACGATGGTCCATCCTAAGGAGAGCGAGCATTTTGGTTATTTTCGCGATGGCTCTAGGACCGAGCTGGTCGCGATGCAAGATGCACCTTGGTACACCGAAGACTGGTTCGGCCTTAAGAGCTTGGACGCGGAGAAGAAGATCGACACTTACACCACTCCGGGGAATCACCTCAGGTTCACCGAGGAGTTTCTCGGGAACACGGTGCAAAAGTACTTCGCACCAGCGCAAAAGATGGACCTCCTGGTCTGAGACCCCGTGGCGTCTCCGAGCAGAGCAGGCAGCTCCGCACGTGAGGACCTGGCCGATGTTTTGGTCCGGGGCTGCGCCGTGAGTGTCTTGTTCCTTTGGCGCGCCCGTGTGCTCGTACAACACGAGCCGGGCCGCCTGTAGATAGCCAGCAGCGAGTGCGCGGTATTCCCACAACGAGTGTGTCAGCATCCTCTCTCCACTCTCCTCTGACGTCGCAGCTGCTCCGGTGGCGGGAACCCCGGGTGGCCTCGACCACTTCCCCGGGGCTGGCTCTTCGTCCTGAGCCGTTCTTGGGGCGGCTCTCTGGGAGGGCTGGGGAGCGGCCTCCAGAGATCGAAGACGCAGAACAGCGGCCGTCGCGATGCCTGCGGCGACGTCGAGGTCTGCAGGTTGTCCTCGGCGTTCCTCCGACGGGCAGAGGCGGCATCAGCACATGTGTGTGCCAGCGTGGGCCCCAACTGCTCGGCTGACGCACTGGGGATGTGCGAGCTACGCGGTGCAACTTATCTTGTAGAGCTTGAAGTCGTCATCTCCACTGCTCGCGCAAGCATCCCACCCATCCACCCGCAGCTTGGTTTGCAAAACCTCTCAAGACCGACTACGACGACACCGACGACAACGACTACGACGACACCGACGACGTCTCCGACGACTTCGACGACGACGACATTGCCGACGCCGGCGACGACGAAGACGACGACGACGACGCCAACGAAGGCGATGACGAGGGAGGAGGAAGGACGACGACGGCGACAACGACGACAACGACGAGGGAGGAGGGAGGACGGCGACGACGCGAACGACGAAGAAGGAGGAAGGACGGCGACGCCGACGACGACAACGACGAGGGAGGAGGGAAGACGACGACAACGACGACGACGACGACGACGGCGACGAAATAGGAGGGACGACGACGAGACGCCGACGACGGACGACGACGACGACGAGGGAGGAGGAGGAAGGACGACCACGGCGACAACGACGACGGAAACGACCACGACGCCAAAGAGGACGACGACGACGAACACGAAAAAAGACACAGGACGACGTAGGCGACGACGACGACGACGACGCGGGAGGAGGGAGGACGGCGACGACGACGACGACGACGCCGCAAGAGCGCGCGCGCACGCTTTTGTTGAAAATCCGTGTTGCGAAACCTTGTGTTTTTGTAAGTTTTTTGGACGCGCGATTTTGAAATCCTTCCGAAACCGATGGGTTTTGAAGGATTTCGGCGCACGCGCGCGACGACGCGCGCGTCTGCACTTCGTCTCATTTGTTGCAGAGGGTTCTCGCGACGGCAAACGCGCAAGGGCGTTCGACAGATTTCGACATGCGCGCGCGCGACGCCCGTCTGGTAGCCTGTTGTGGCAATCTTGAAAAACCATTGGTTTTCTCAAGATTTCGCATGAGCTCGCGCGTAAGCTTTTTTAGCAAATCAGTGTTGCGAAACCCTGTATGTTTGTATGTTTTTTGGGGAACTCGATTGCGAAATCCTTCTGGCACCGCAGGTTTTTGAAGGATTTCGGCATGCGTGCGCGACGACGCGCGCGTGTGCACTTCGTCCCATTTTCTGCAAGGGATTCGCGAAAAAGTGTTATGTTATAACAAAGGATGTCACCGCATAGTGTTTCTTACAAGGGACCCTCAGGGGGGGATACCTGTTGGCCTGGGACACTGCGGTTTCAATTTTACGATGGAGATGTGGTCAGAATCATATGTGATTTACATACCCGAGAGGGGTGGCGATAACGCCGGGGGGTAGAGTCTATTCTCTTTTTAGAAAGGAGAATCTAGGTGATGCAACATGTGTGGCGCAATCTACGTGGTGCAATCTGCGTGGTGCACCCCATCTGTATGTGTGGTGCCATCTACTCGTAGTAGTACTACTACTAGTAGTAGCTGCGTTCGTAATTGTAGTTGTCATAGTAGTGCTAGCCGTAGTAGTAGTAGTAGTAGTAGTAGTAGTAGTAGTAGTAGTAGTAGTAGTAGTAGTAGTCGTAGTAGTAGTAGTAGTAGTAGTAGTAGTAGTAGTAGTAGTAGTAGTAGTAGTTAGTAGTAGTAGTAGTAGTAGTAGTAGTAAGTTATTAGTAGTAGTAGTAGTATGGTAGTAGTAGTAGTAGCAGTACCAGTAGTAGTAGTAGTAGTAGTAGTAGTAGTAGTAGTATAGTTGTTAAGTAGTAGTAGTAGTAGTAGTAGTAGTAGTAGTAGTAGTAGTAGTAGTAGTAGTAGTAGTAGTAGTAGTAGTAGTAGTAGTAGTAGTAGAAGTAGTAGTAGTAGTAGTAGTAGTAGTAGTAGTAGTAGTAGTAGTAGTAGTAGTAGTAGTGGTAGTAGTAGTAGTAGTAGTAGTCGTGGTAG